GAGTTTAGGGATTTAGTGTTTAAAGAGGAAAAGGGAGATATGGTTTTATATAAATTAATATATATACATATACATATATATATATAAATATATATATATACATTAAATTATATGTGATTTACTCGCGCGCGGCGTCGTAACAAAATGGGTGTTGTTCCTAGGCAAAATCGACGCTCCAGACGTGTCGGTGCAATCTGTTTTGTCATCCGGGGTCGCTTGGACGAGGTCGTCGACAATCGGATCAAAAACGCGTCAAAATTCAAATTTCACAAACTTTCGACACGCGATCGATCGCTTCAAAAAGTTTATTCGAGTCTTCGACAGGTAACAGTGCAAGCGATGGGAATTGAGGCGGCAAATTGTGCAAAAGGTCATCCTAAGGCTCAGGAAGGTCCTATAGGGAATCCCTTTTAGGTTTCCTCATGTTGGTTTCATCCTTCTAAGTGTTAGAAGTCGATACCACACACGCAAAACTCCAGAAGGGGACAGAGGTAGGTTGAATTTTTAAAATGAGGCGAGTCCCATTTCTAAGGTTCTAAGATAGTCAAAGGGAGACCACTAAGGCTAGATCCTAAATCCTACAAGAAAGACTAGACCTCACTAAAAATGAGGTCAACAAACGTATCTGGAAGCTTTAGATCTCTGGGAAGCAATGGAAGAAGACTATGACATTCCTCTTCTCCCTGAAAATCCCACCGTTGCACAAATTAAAGCACAAAAGGAGAAGAAGATAAAGAAGTCCAAGGCAAAAGCTTGCCTGTTTGCTGCAGTTTCCTCCGAGATCTTCACTCGTATAATCCCACCGTAGCAGAAATTAAAGCACAAAAGGAGAAGAAGATAAAGATGTCCAAGGCAAAAACTTGCCTGTTTGCTGCAATTTCCTCCAAGATCTTCACTCGTATCATGTCGTTGAAAACGGCAAAGGGAATTTGTGATTATCTCAAATCCGAGTACGAAGGAGATGAAAGAAGATGCAAGTGCTAAACTTGGTTCGTGACTTTGAATTACAAAAGATGAAGGAGACAGAAACCATAAAAGAGTACTCTGACAGACTACTCAACAGACTACTCAACATAGACAGACTACTAAACATAGCAAATCGTGTCAAATTATTGGATTCTTCTCTGGAAAATTCAAGGATTGTTCAGAAAATCCTTATAACAGTGCCTGAAAGATTTGAGGCTACCATCACCACCTTAGAAAACATGAAGGATCAGTCAAAGATTGCTTTGACAGAACTCTTAAGTGTTTTACAAGCACAAGAGCAGAGGCGTGTAATGAGGGAAAAAGGAGTCGTCGAAGGAGCTCTACTAGTCAAGCATCGCGATGATGAAAATAATAGGTGGCCCAAGAACAAGAAGTTTCAAGCTACAAGTGGACAAAGCTCTGCAGCTGAGAACAGAAACAAAACTGAAAATAAAAGATTAGGAGTAAAAAAAGATTATCCTCCAAGTCAACATTGTGGCAAGAAAGGTCATCCTCCTTTCAAATGATGGAGAAGACCAGATGCAAATTGTAGCAAGTGTAATCAAATGAGACATGAAGCTGTCATATGTAAGAATGAAAAACAGCAGCAAGGAGATGAAGCACAAGTGGCAGATCAAAAAGAAGATTACCCTCTTTATCAAATGAGACATGAAGCTGTCATCTTTTCTTTGCAACTACTACTAATCATATGACACATGACAAGGAGTTGTTCAAGGAATTGAAGAGCACCTAGTCCAAGAAGATCATAATTGGGAATGGTGATTATATTGCAGTCAAAAGAAAGGGCACCATAGCTATTACAAGTTGTTCAAGAACCAAGTTGACCACCGATGGTCTCTATAAACCAGATATTGATCAAAACTTGCTCAGTGTTGGTCAATTAATATAAAAGGGATTTAAAGTGATGTTCATGGAGAAGGCCTGTGTGATAGAGGATGCTACGAGTCAAAAGATGACAGAATAAAAGATGTTCGAAGTTAAGATGGCAGGGAGAAGCTTTTCACTCAATCCAATGCAGGAGGAGCAATCTGAGAAACAAATTGAAAGCACTATGAAGATTTAATCAGCAATTGAGATGACTGAACATGTGAAAGTTGATGCAGGGCTGAGGGAATTAGAACTGGAGTTAACCATACAAAAAACAACTGCAGAACTTTTAGAGTTTAAAGTTCGCCTTTTGAGTATGGAAACAGAACTCCTAGCCATGTCGCGAATGAATGACGAATTGAAAGATGAAATGGATAAGACAATGGCGAGCCAATTTAATTCGGAGATGAGACAAATAAAGGCTACTATAGAAGTCACAGAACTGAAAGCAAACCTCTTGGATAAGGAGACACAGCTACAAAGCATTATGGATGAGAATGAACATCTAAAATCTGAGCTGAGGAGGCTTAGGATGTAGTCAGATCAATGGAAAAAGGCAGCTGAAACAGCAGCAACAGTTCTCACATCAAGGAACAATGACAGAATAGTTGAGAGGACGAGCTCTCTTAAATCAGACTACAATTCACTGCTCCCTGGGAAGCTGCTAAGCTCCCCTTTCTCTAACGACTTGGATGATGATTCTCCCAAGAGGAAGAATGGCAATATGCTAACGAAAATTTTAATAGATCTCAATCTGGAGTAGAAAGAAAGCACTAAGATTTTTGTTAACAACCAAGCTATCATTTCCATTTCCCATAATCTTGTGTTTCATGGGAAAACTAAGCATTTCAACATCAAGTTATTTTTTCTAAGAGAAGTACAGAAAGAAGAATTTTTTACTCTGGTTTACTGCAAATCTAAAAATCAAATGGCAGATTTGTTTACAAAGTCACTCCCACTTAGCAAGTTTGAGTTTCTAAGGCAGAAATTTAGTGTTCGCAGCTCCTAAAGTAAGGAGTGTTGGAATACATGCTTAGGACTGCTTATTGAGTCTAGGTTTAATTGAGTCAAGTTTGTTCCTTGATCTTAGGAATTAATTGCTAATTTTCTTGATTTCGTTTCTTGTTATTTTCTTGGCTAATTTTTAGGTCTTTTTTCTTGGAAATTTGTTATTAGCTCCAAGTTTAAACATTATAAGTCTACACAAAATATGTGTGGTTCTAATTTTCCCTTCAATCTACATCAATTCTCTTAAGTTTTCAATCTTCTAATTTTCCCTTCAATCTACATCAATTCTCTTAAGTTTTCTCTTCTTTCTCATTTCAAGAAACCAACAAATAATAATGGAATATTTAATAAAGACCCAATCTATCAATTTCCTATAAAAGCCCACATTACCATTTTTTCTTATTTCCCTTTCGTTGACACGATCTGTTGTCTAAACAAATACAAAAGATGTGAGTCCTATCATGTCCTCTATTATAAGTAATCACAATTTTCTAAGATTCCATCTACATTAGTAGTTTCTCTTGGATGAAATGCACTAAAAAGATAAAAATGAACCAAAAAAAGTAATGCAACATAAAAATAGCATGAATCGGAGCAGAATGTTGTCATCATAAATTCTTAGAAATATCAAATAAGACAACAATATACATGAAATAAGGCACCGTTGATAATTAGAAACATCAAATAAGAACCCAATAGAATCTACGCAATTGATAAAATGTAAGTTATGAAAACCAAACTTAGCTAAGAAAAAATGGAGGAAAAAGAAACATGAGTAAATAAATAATGAGAAGTACAACATCAGGAACTTCAATCTCTAAATCATTATTACCTCTCAATTAAGGGCTTTAAAAATGGAACAGCCTTTTCGATGCCTTCTATGTTTGCAAGAGATTGCACAAAAGCTATAGGGATCATGAAGAAGAATATCAGAAAGAATAATGCAACTGCCACTATCAGCCTTCTAATGGTAAGTTGGACAAAAGGGGTGGCTAGGTTATTCCAGTAAACATCACGTGGTTCTGGAGCCCACTCAGCCAACCAAGCTGTTGGGTTTCTAGTTTGTTGAGTTTGAGCACACACTGCTGCTCCCCATCGTGTCCTAAATGAAACAAATGCAGCAGGAATAATGGATTTTTGTTTCAAAATCCTGTCCCGTTCTTCCACCTCCTGAAAACAAATTTGGTGAATAAAATGAGCATGAATCCTCCAACACCATATTCAAGGTATGTGAAAAATGAGAAGAAATAACAACATGCAGCAGAAAGGCAAATATCAGCCAAAACAGTTAAGGAACTGCAGAACATCCATAGATGAGATTGATAAAGACAACAATTAGTAATTAAAACGCTTCGGGGCATTTACATACATAGCACACAATTCTTATGTACTTAGATATCTCACACCTAAACTTTCATACACATACACACAAATCTTTAATATAAAATCAAAAATAGCATTATTATCACTTTTTAAAAGTGAAATACACATTTTCATGTACGGGTTTAAAGCATGAAAGTGCTACGTATGTAAATATGGAAGTTTAGGTGTGAGATACGTAAATACATAGGAATTGTGTGCTACGTATATAAATTTCCCAAAGAGCTTAAATAAGAAGAATAAGCTTAGTTCAGCAAGATATAAAAATACTTTGCAGCATCCAGTCAAACAGAAACGGTAAAGTAAACAATCACAGGAGTTTTATTTTCAGGTCGATGCAAGCAGATTAGTCCGAAAAATATAAACAGCAGATGAGACATTAACTAATGCAGCATAAATTCATCAGCTAAATGCTAAGACAATGTGAACTGTTTAAACACCGTTCATCATTGAGAAAAACATTGAAAGCCCTAAAGGGGCAGATCATCTCGTACACGAACAACTTACTTCATTGGATAGCTTAGCAATCTCTGACGTGTAATATTCAATTGCATCCACCTTCTTGCCACACAGACCAAGAAAACCAGTCTGATAAAAAGAATTTTAGAGCCATCGTAAGTTTACGAGTCAAGCCACAATAAGAATAAAGTTTGACCATCACAAATAAAAAGGGAAAATTTTTTACTAGAAACAACCTTACGGGTTGGTCTTCTAGATGGTTTTCTTTCATATCTCAACTGATAGAAGTCCAACCAGTTCTTCATGTTCTTTTTCTTTTTAACAATCTTAGAAAGTTCGTTGGCACCATAGACAATCTAAAAGAAATTAAAAATAAGAACTGAAATCTCAAAGAAGGAAACCTACCATCATATTGGTTTAAATGCCATCAGAATAACAAAGACAAAAGTTAACACATGAAATTATTATCAGTGCAAATAAACAAAATTTTACTTAATTAAAAATATTAATATTAAAATAATTGATTAATTAAAATGTCATGAATAGTTTAAAGACATAGTTAACCTATCAAAATCAATTCAATTTAAAATGAACTAATTGCACAAAATAATTGAATGATGATTGAATAAAGTTGAATATAATAATTAATAGGTGTATACATATAAAATTAAATGATTTTGTATTAAAAGAATTTTCTAGATTATGATTCAATGTACTTTATAATATAAGTATCATGTTATAATTGTAATAATATAAAAAAAATGAACCAACCTAATGTTGATTCTATCAAACCGATTTAAGAAGTCAGTTGCCCCATCTAAAAGGCTAGGAAAAGGCAGACCAAGTGCACAAGAGCAAGCGAGCGAAGGGACAAGCAAGTAGGTATGCAAAAGTAAAATAAAGGTAAATTACCTTCTAATAAAAAGATTAACATATAATAAAGTAATAATAATTCTTTATGCATTTGACTATAGATTTTCATTTGAAATAAGTGAAGAGAACGATTGACCAGAGAATCATCAGTGATTGAAGTGAGTGCTCACGTACTTATGATATAATAATATTGTTATTTCTTCTATACCAAATGCATTTACTGATACTATCACTAGTTATATTGACATCACTGCAAACTCATGATTTATAAGTCTATTGATTTTTTGTTCATATTGTAGGATTGAGTTGTATTTAGTCAGTTTTTAAATTATCATAAATATTAAAAGATACACAAATGAGCATAAAATAATCATTATTAAATAGTAATTTTTATAGTATGTTTATATGTGCATATTTGGTTATGAAGAAATCACCATTTGAACGCTAAGGTACTCGTTTACGTAAATGAAAAAGAATAATAATATTGAAGTACTTTGAAGGGTGCAAATAGATGGTGCTCCTACGATGATTGTATACAGATTAAAAAGATATTGATATATAAATAATATAGTGAGATACATAATGAATGTGTTTCATGAGAATACTAGTCCTAACTGATAATTTATCTCCTCGGTGTCTATCACTAAAAAAATTCAACATGTCATAGACCTCATTCCATGATTTATAATATCAAACTGGCATATAGGATGCGACCAACGAAGTATGAGAAGTTATATAAACATATTACACATGTGATGGTTAGAGGCATGATTCATGAGAATATTAGCCAAACTATAGCTTCAGCTCTAATTGTGCAAAAGAATGATTGTTTTTAATTCCATCATAAAAGAAATGGAAGGACATGTATTTTAGAGTTGTTTAAAAAGGACGTAACATAGATTTTAAAGCCGGATTATGTTAGACATAACAAAAGGATGACTTTGCTATTGTGGCGGTAGGTCGAATCTTGAAGCCTATATAGCAGAAGAAATCTCTCCTAGACGGGGAGAATGGTGTGGGAGCTCTCCTCTTAGCGTGATGTTGTTGAAAAGGTGGATCTTGTAATACATTTCAACTCCCAATTTTGAGTTCCCATGAATGCAGCCCATAATACCACAAAAAGGCGTGATCCAATAATCTTGTAGCGTTCACGAATGGGAATTTCGTATTCTCACGATCACAAGAAGTATGTCGCACCCAAAATTCCATTTTGTTACCTATTTCAACCCAATTTTCTTTCATTTTTGATTTCTTTCCTATTTCTCTATTTCTAATTAAATTATTTTCTATGAGAAAATGTGAATTTTAAATAATGCTTTTCTCACTTGAATACATAGATAATTCACCTATAAATAGCTGAGTACAAGAGAAACAAAAAGAGGAAAGAAATCTTCCTACAATAAAGTAATTCCTATAATTATGAAATACACATAAATACCAATAATTAAGGAATTACTCTTTCTATATTATGACTTAAATATAACAAGTATTAAATTGAATTAAAATAAATAATAATGAGGAGCGTAATTCCACACTCCCCCTCAAAGTGGGTTGTACAGATTGTACATGCCCAACTTGTCGGTTAGCTCATCAAAACTGGACTTAGGGAGAGTCTTGGTGAGAATGTCTGCGGTTTGGTCTCTAGGAGTATAAATGTCCACCTTCTCTGAAATGAAGTTTCTATCAATCTCAATGTGTTTCGTTCGGTCATGATGAACAGGATTCTTTGCGATACTGATTGTAGCTTGATTGTCACAGAACATCTTGATAGAATTTTCTCCCATAATTCCAAGCTCCCTGAGAAATCTTTTGATCTCACATTCCTTCACAATACCAAGTGTCAGTGCTCGGTATTCTGCTTCTGCACTACTCCGAGATACCACCGATTGCTTCTTGTTTCTCCATGTCACTAGATTGTCGCATACATAAGAGCAATACCCAGAGTTGATCGTCGGGTGGATATAACTCCTGCCCAGTCAGCATCAGTAAAGACTTCTACCTTTTGACTATCATTCCTTTTGAATAATAACCTTTTCTCAGGTGTCATCTTTAAGTATCTTAAAATACGGTTGACAGCTCCCATATGTTCCTCAGTAGGACAGTTCATGAATTGACTTATTATACTTATTGAAAAACTTATGTCTGGTCTAGTGTGGGATAAGTAAATAAGTCTTTCAACAAGCCGCTGATATCTTCCTTTGTCGACAGGTAAACTATCATTCTCCATTCCAACCTTTTTATACGGGTCTATTGGAGTATCTATTGGTTTGCATCCAAGCATACCCGTTTCTTTCAATATGTCCAATGTGTACTTCCTTTGAGTTACGGTTATCCCCATTTTGGATTTTGCAACTTCCATTCCCAAGAAGAACTTCAAGTCTCTGAGGTCCTTGATTTCGAATTCATGGGCTAGAAACTTCTTCAGCTTTGTCAATTATTCAGTGTGATCACCGGTAAGAATGATGTCATCAACATACACAATAAGTACAGCAATCTTCTTCTCTGATCTTTTTGTGAACATTGTATGATCAGTCTGGCTTTGAGTATAACCGCACTTGATTACTGAATTGGTGAATTTGGCAAACCAAGCACGAGGAGATTGTTTGAGACCATACAGAGATTTCTGGAGCTTGCATACTTTGCCACTAGGGAAGGACCCTTCAAGACCAGGCGGTAAATCCATGTATACATCCTCTTCAAAATCTCCATTAAGGAATGCATTTTTGACATCAAGTTGCATAAGGGGCCAGTCTCGGTTTGCTGCAATGGAGAGTAGAATTCTAATGGAGTTCAGTTTGGCTACTGGGGCAAATGTCTCTTGGTAGTCAATTCCGTATGACTGGGTATATCCTTTTGCAACCAGTCGGGCTTTTAACCAATCCATGCTTCCGTCTGCCTTACATTTGATTGTAAATAACCACCTGCATCCTACTGGTCTCGTATCCTTGGGCAAATCAGACACAATCCACGTTCCACTCTTTTCTAGTGCAGCAACTTCTTCATTCACAGCTTTTCTTCATTCCAGGTGTGAGAGAGCTTCCTGAATAGAATTCAGAACCTTTATG